TTGAATTAGCCCGCTCTACAGTGGAAAGACTGAAAAGTCCGGAACCGCAAACAAAGTCCAACTGAGTTGGCGAATTTGCTTAACCGGTAATCACTCAGGCACAAACGGTTTGAATTGATGGAACAGAGTTTTGAACTTGGAATGATATGGGCGATTGTCAAGCGCCGCTATCTCTACTTCGTTGTACCGTTTGTCCTGGTGTTTGCCATCGTTGTTGTGGTCGCCTACGCCCTGCCCCGCAGCTACGAAGCCAAAGCGACGATCCTTATTGAATCTCAGCGAATTCCCAGCGAGCTGGCCTCCACCACAATCACAGCCAGCCCGAGTGAACGGATCAAGGTGATCGAACAGCGTTTGTTTGCTCGTGACAATCTGCTGAGCATCGCAAGCAAGTTCTCGTTGTACAACTCGGAAGGCCGAAGAGACAATTCACCATCCGAAATCGTCGATTTCATGCGGGATGCGATCGAAATAAAGCAAATCGGCGTCGCAACATCGCGCAGGAATACTCAGGTCATCGGCTTTGATGTCACGTTCCTTTATACAAACGCGACATTGGCTGCACGTGTCACAAACGAGTTGGTGACGTCGATCCTCTCGCAAAATCTCGAAACCCGTCTGAGCCGCGCTGCTGAGACAAGTGATTTCTTTCAGCAACAACTGAGCAATCTTGAAAAGAAACTGCTGGCAGTCGAAAACCAGATTGCCGCTTACAAAAGAGATAACGAGACAGCGTTGCCGGACACTCTTGCCATCCGGCGCGAAAAACTGACGGAGGTATCCGCCAATATTGACGCGATAGGCCGGCAGATCACGCTCTCGGAACAATCTGAAAACGGCGCCGGATCAACGGGTGGCGCGGAAGCGCAACAACTTGCCTTCCGTCTTCAATCCCAGGAGCTGAACTACGATGCGTTCGTGGAACGGCGCGAATTGCTGGCACCGCTTCTGGAAAAAGGGTTCGTCTCGCAGAGAACCATGGATGATCTGGACAGGCAGATTGCGCAAGCCGAAATTGAAATCGCGGCCGTGAAGTCCCAGATGGCTCAGCAGGGCTTTACCGCTGATCCCGACACCAGGCTCAAATTGCTACAATCGCAAAAGGTCGAATTCGAGCGAAGGGCCGACGACCTTCGAAAGAGCATTTCCAGAACGCCTTCTGTGGAAGTCGAACTGGCTGCAATGGTGCGGGAGTATGAAAACCTGCGGGCGGAATATACCCAAACCAAAGCAAAACTCACGGATGCAGAGATCGGCGAAAAGCTTGAGCAGGACAGGCAGGCTGAACGTTTCGAAGTCCTCGAGCAGGCCACAACACCGGAAGAGCCTACAAAGCCGAACCGTATTCAGATTGTCGCAGCCGGTGGAGCCGGTGCAATGGCGCTAGGCGCGGGGCTGGTTCTTCTGCTTGAGTTTCTCGACAAGAGCGTTCGAACCGCAAGTGATCTGGAGAGACGGCTTCAATTGCGTCCAATCGCCGTCATTCCCTATGTCACGACCCGACGAGAACGGATTCGTCGTGTCGCAAATCGCGTTTTAGCAGTTTGCATCTTGTTGACTGTCGTCGTCGGAGCCCTGGCAGTGGCCCATCTTTTCATTACCCCCCTCGATATTTATGCCGAGCGCATGTGGCAAAAGGTTCAACCTTTGCTGCCGATTTCGTTGCTGTCGTAAGTTTCGTCCAGGTCTCGATGTTTGGAGAAAATGAGTGGAACACATCAAGAGTGCACTAAAAAAGGCCGGCGTTCTGGACGAAAACATCGAGTCGGTTGCCCCTGCGCGCGCACCGGAACGCAGGATGCCCGTCAAGGAATTCGAGGCGACCGAACAACCGGAACCTTTTACACTGCGTCAGGTTGAAATAGACCAGAAGCACCTTGAGAAAACGCGGATCGTGTCAAAGTCCATGGACGATCCCAACCACATCGCCTTCAACCTGCTTCGCACGAGAGTGCGCAAGGCAATGTCCGACAACAAGTGGAATTCCCTTGCGATCACATCGCCTACAGCCGGTTGTGGCAAGACCATGGTTACCTTGAACCTGGCGTTCAGTCTTTCCCGAAATCCGGGGCTCAGGACAGTTGTCGTCGACCTGGATCTCAAGAGACCGTCGGTTGCGCCTACACTCAAGGTCGAACCGGATCGATCTATTGCCCAGTATCTTTTGGGAAAGGCAGACGCCAAAGACTGTTTCGTACAGGTGGATCCAAATCTGGTTCTAGGTCTCAACAGCGGCCATACGCCCGCCTCGTCCGAGTTGCTTCAAGCTCCCAAAATGCTGGAACTGTTTGAATTTATTGAAACCAAACTCCAGCCTGAGGTCATCCTATTCGATCTCCCTCCCATGCAGAGCAGTGATGATGCGCTGGGGTTTCTCCCCCGAGTGGACACTTCCCTGCTTGTTGTGGCGGCAGGAACGACAACAACTGCCGAAGTTGACGAGTGTGAATTGCAGATAAGCGAACTCGACAAACTTCTCGGCATCGTCCTGAACAAGTGCGAAAGCGCGAAAAGCGAAGAATACTACTATTAGAGCAAGTTTCATTTTTGAGTTTCGAGCACGGGCTGATGTGGATCGGTCGCAGAATTGAACGCCAATCCGTATCGCAATCGTGAGAATACATCGCTGCAACATTTTCGGCGCTGACGATATCCACTCTTGAATGGGCAAAACAAAAAACGCTCTAAAGACAAATATGACTAATCGTAACCTTGTTTTCAAAAATTCCGTAGAGGCACTGCAATCCTGCTTGTCACTCTGTATCGGAGATGATAACTCAATTTTGTATAAAAATAGATATAGCTGACAATGCAATAAAAGGCTGTGTTAATCATGAAGTTTAAGAGTGTGGTTTCCGCGTGTGCCCTCTTGGCGGCCAGTGCGAGCATGGCTGTCGCGGCCCCGATTTCCCTGACAAAGACAAATCCGAGTGACACATTTGACGGCGGCGGCCGGAAGTCTCTCAGAATTATCAACGATGCCGGACCTGCACTCAATCAGCGAGTGACCGCAGGTGGTTTCCGTCTCACCGATCAGACAAATGGCATTGATTTTATCGCGTGGTGCGTGGATATCGCGCACAACCTCTCGCTGAAGGGTCTCTACGAGGTCACGAGCGCGCCGTTTACAAATACGTTTGCATTCACGCAGACGCAAAAAGACAACGTCAAGAGCCTCTTTGAAACAAGCTATTCCAGTCTGAACCTGAATAACAACAATGAGTCTGCCGGTTTTCAGCTGGCGCTCTGGGAAGTTATCTATGAAGATTCCGGAACATTCGATGTGAAGAATGGGTCATTCTATTCGAACACGAATACCTCTGCCCGGAACATTGCCAATGGTTTCCTTGCAAACCTGGGTGGTGCGGTTACGCAGGCGTATAACGTTTCGTATCTGGAGTCTCTTGGTTGGGAAAAAAGTGGCAAAACAAAATATAGCCAGAACCTTGTCAGCGTGACACCGGTTCCACTGCCCGCGGCTGGACTATTGCTGGCTTGCGGCCTGGCAGGACTTTACGCTTCAAATCGACGCAAGAAGACATAACTTTTTGTTGCGTTACTTGAACGCGCAAACTATTTTGTATGTTGAATTGTATAAAGTCCGGGTTTCGATCCGGATTTTAATATTATTTTTAATTAGAGTTGGTATTTTGCTTTCTACTTTGCAGTCCAAGCGCGAATTTGCTGCCTTTTCGCCGCAATTCAACCCTAGGCTTAAATACGATCAAATTGAGCGGACGAATTTGCATGGTTCGACTTGCAGGTTCTGAAAATCATTTGATCGTGTGCAAAGGGAACGTCGTATCGAATTTACCTTTTTTGGAGTAAGATCTTGAAAACGTCCCGTAAACTTGTTTATTGAAATTCAAAATGAAACTGTAAAATTGCAATCAAATTAGAACAGTCGAAGCATTGCAATTTTATTGGCTTTAGCTGATGCAACAAGAACCAAAATTTGAACAATCGCGCACCTCGGGGTCGATGATGTACGAGCCGTATTACGGTCTCTTGATGAAGCCTTTTGCACTGGTTCCCGACCCCCGATTTATATATTGGGCGGGACCGCACAGCATGGCATTTGCCATGCTGGAATATGGAATAGTCAACCACGCCGGTTTCACCGTCGTGACCGGTGAAGTCGGTGCCGGCAAGACAACGCTCATTCAACACCTGCTCAGCAAGCTGCCGGGAGATATCCAGGTTGGGTTGCTCGACAATACGGGTGGCACCGGAGAATTGCTTCAATGGATCCTGATGGCGTTTGATCAGGACTTTGATAGCGACTCACACGTAAAGCTGTACAAGCAATTTCGTGATTTTCTCATCGAGCAATATGAGGCCGGCCGCCGCACCGTTCTTATTGTCGATGAAGCACAGAACCTGGGTTCGGAAACGCTCGAAGAACTGCGGATGCTTTCCAACATCAACACGCATGACCGGGAACTGCTTCAGATCGTGTTGAGCGGACAACCGGAGCTGAAAACACTGCTCGCGGCGCCGAGCTTGAGGCAATTCGTTCAACGGGTAACGTCCGACTTCCATCTGTCGTTCCTCGAGCAGCAGGAAGTTGCCGGATATATCGCGCACAGGCTGAAAGTCGCTGGGGCAAAACGAGCCCTGTTCACTCCAGGAGCCTGTGATCTGATATATTACGCGACACAGGGCACCCCGCGACTGATCAATACGCTGTGCGATACAGCCCTGCTCTACGGCTTCGCCACGGAAGCAGAGGAAATAACACCTGACATCGTCAAAAGAGTGCTCGATGATAAACGGCGCTTTGGTGTGTTTGCCGTACAGCCGGATCTTGCATTGCCGCAGTGATGCGCTGAGAACCGTCTGGAGGCGGATGCAGGCTTCGTGAACGCTAAGCAGAGAACCTGATTGAATTATCAAACAAACGCGGGCCCAGGGTCCGCGTTTTTGCGTTGTTGACGCTGTCAGTAGCTGGACCGGTGTCGGTCCGGGATTTCACTGCGGCTTGAAACGGAACCAAAGCCTCAGGCTTTTGAGACCATTTCAGTCGGCAGACCCCGCCGGGCAATGGCGTTTCGTGTATCAACGATCGGTACGTTCAGGCGGATCAGCGCTTCATAGTCAATTGCATCATGATCCGTTGAAATCAGAATGGCGTCGTAGTCTGCGTCCCCGACTTCCACAGAGCTTACGGATTCCCGTCCAAGAAGATGAGCAAACTCTCTCATGGCCGGGATTCTGTCGATATGAGGATCAAGAAAATCAACTTCCGCCCCGCTTTTCAGCATCATGTCCATCAACGTGACTGACGGGCTTTCCCGCATGTCCGGCACATTCTTCTTGTAGCTTATTCCAACAAGCAATATCCGTGAGGTCGAGAGTCCCTTCCCGCACTTCAGATCCAGGACCTCACGCAACTTCGAAATGACAAACTGAGGCATGTTGACGTTGATCTCGCCGGCTAGCTCAATGAACCGGGTGGTGTGGCCGAATTCGCGGGCCTTCCAGGTCAGATAAAACGGGTCGATGGGGATGCAATGCCCTCCCAAACCCGGCCCGGGGTAGAAAGGCATGAAGCCGAATGGTTTGGTTGACGCGCCGTCGATCACTTCCCAGACGTCTATTCCCATCGCGTCGTAGATCACCTTCAGTTCGTTCACGAGCGCGATGTTGACCGCTCGAAAAATGTTTTCCGTGATCTTTACTGCTTCGGCGGTGCTGGTCGTCGAAACGGGCACAACCTCGTCCACGACTTTGCTGTAAAAAGAGACGGCCAATTTCCGTGAGATTTCAGAATCGCCGCCAACGATCTTCGGAATGGAATGCGTGCGATAATCCTTGTTGCCGGGATCCTCTCGTTCCGGGCTGAAGGCAACCCAGAAATCTTTGCCGGGACAAAGGCCACCTGAGGCCAGAACCGGTGTAAGAACTTCCTTTGTTGTCCCGGGGAAAGTCGTGGACTCAAGAACAACCAGGGTCCCCTCCAGCATGTTTTGCGCAATGACCTTTGCCGTATCTTCAACGTAGGACAGATCTGGTTCGCGATGGCGCGTGAGAGGTGTCGGGACACAAATGACGATGACGTCGCATTTCGCCAACCCTGAAAAATCGGTCGTCCAGTTCACAGATCCGATCCGAGAGGCCTCATTGAGCATCTCGTCTGTCACTGCGTCGATGTAGCTCCTTTCTTCCTCCAATCGACTGATCTTGTCGGCGTCGATGTCAAAACCCGTAACGGAAAACCCTCGCAACGCGACGGTTACGGCAAGCGGCAAGCCGACATAACCCAGACCGATTACCGCGATCCTGGCCTGCTTGCTCTCAAGCATTTCCAGCAGTTTGACGCTATTCCTGTTTTCCGTATCCATCTTGGGGTCCTGGTCAGTTGAGCATGCGCGCGCCCGGCAAAAAATCAGAATGAGATGTTTATCTGTTTTTCACCGGCGTTCATCAAAAAAGGAAAGCGGTTCATGGAATTCAGCCGCTGCGCTTTCGTTCATTGGGTTATCACTCGGGCCCAAGAACTCTCCAGACACAAAAACACCCGGCCGGACTGCGAATGTCCTGCCGGGTGCTCTTCAACTGACTACTTTCAACTGAAGTCTCCGCTCGGAGAAAGCGAATGACCGCGATGTTGTGCGCTCAGCGCTGTTCTCAGTTTTCAATTGCCGGGAAATAACTCGGCAATTGCGGAACCACGCTGCTCAGGAAATTCTGCAAACGCTCGTCGGCGAGCTCAACATCTTCCGTCCGCGTGAGAGGTGTGACGACACGCACAAGACCGCCATCAGATCGACCATCAGCAAACGTATCCCACATCGATGCGAATTTCGCTTCGAAGTCATTCGTGATCCGGCGACCACGCTGCTCGAACCAGAAATACACCAGCTGGCGTTCAAGTCCCTGCTGGATAATTGCGCGGTTCACCGGAAAACTCTGCTGTTCGCCATCGCTTCCAACTGTAATTGTTCTTTGCTGCCACTGGGAAACCTCCCAGCCGCCACCTGGCAGGCAAATTTCAGGAGAGTGAATGCCGGAGCCCTTTGTCTGAGACTTGTAGAACGTCATCAGCAGGTTGATGTCCTTCTCTCCGTCACTGAAATCCGCCAGGAGATATTCGTCAGCGCCCAGAACCCGTTCGATGTCTCTGTCGAGGATCGTTGCCCGTCCCTGCCAGTTCTCGACATTCATCGGGAATATGCCAAGCGGCAGCCGATTGATCGGTGCAGGCTCTTGCGTGGGTGTCATCTGCCAGGCGATGCCCGCAAGCAACGCAATAACCGCAGCGGAGATGAAGGCGCGGCCTGCCTTGAGAGACGGGAGCTTCTTGAGAGGCCCCATCATACCCTGATAGTCCATGCCGATGATGTAGGCGGGGCGCTCTCTTCCGAATGAGAAGTAGCGCGACAGGATCCAGGCCAGAATGTAGAGGATGGCGGTACAGGAGATAAAGATTACCCAGCCTTCAAAATAGTGCAGGAAACCTTCGGCCTGTTCAATTCCGTAGTAGTTGACCAGAACCCCGATCATGCCGACCCGGAAACTGTTCATCAAGATTGTGACTGGAATTGTTGCCAGAAAGATCACGACCCTGTGCCAGTTCGGACCGTTGTAAAGCACAGCCATCAGCCAGCCAAAGCTGAACAACGGGAACAGGTACCGAAGGCCGCTGCACGCTTCAGCCACGAGCAGCTTGTATTCGCCAAGATCGATTACCGTGCCATCCAGCAATACGGGAATGTTCATAAGCTGAATGACCGCAACACCAAGTTCGGCGGAAACAGCCTGAAGATGCGTGGAAACCTGCAGATAAATGAAGGCAGGCAAAGGCAGCATGAAGATCAGGTGCAGCCAGCCGGGCCAGAACCTGAATCCTTCCCTGGTGCCAGCCAGCAGCAAGATCAGCGCGCCAATATAGAGAATGAAGCCGTAGGTGATGATGTCGGGAATCTCGACGAGGTTCCCAACCAAGCCGATCAGGAGAGCGGCAGCGAGAACAATGAACCCAACAATCCGACTGCCGTGATCGGCTTTGACCGGATGACGGTTGATTTCAAGAAGCGTCATGTAAAGGGTGATGAGCGGAACAAGCGGGCCGTAACTGTATTCCGGCCGCGCCCATGCGTATCCCAGGGAAATCAACCCATCCCAGTAAAATGCGGCCGCCCCGAGTGACGCAACCAAGATCCACGGAATTGCGCGTGTCGCAAGCGAGGCATAGTCGGTAGACGCACCGTGTTCATCGTTTCGAAAGTCGACAGTCATAAAATGTTCCGTCCAAAATCGTTAAATTCGGTAACCCAGAAATTCAAATCTGATCTTTGAACTCTACATACCTACATTCCGGCCCTATTTGTAACTAAATTATTGGTGAGAATGCGAGCATCATTAGAATTTGAATAAAACAATTGACGAATTAAGCTTAATTTCGGATCGATATTGAATTTGGCCAGACTCTGTTTGACCTTGCAAACTGGTTCGCCATATACCTTGCTTGATTTGATTTTTGATTTGTGTACCGAGGAGTTGGATAGTTGGTAGAAACGTACAACAAGCCAATGCCTGTTCTGGGAAAAGTATTGATAATCGTAGAAAATCTTCCTGTCCCGTTTGACCGCCGGGTATGGCAGGAGGCGACAGCGCTTCGGCAAGCCGGGTATGAAGTCTCTGTTATTTGCCCTACCGGTAAGAAGCATACTCTCCTAGAGGAAACTCTGGACGGCATTCATATCTACAGGCACAACCTGCCGCTGGAAGCATCCGGAGCTCTGGGTTACCTCGTTGAATATTCAGCTGCGCTTTTCCATGAAATGCGGCTGTCTCTCAAGGTTCTGAGGAGACATGGTTTCGATGCCATTCATGCCTGCAATCCGCCGGACCTGATTTTTCTGGTTGCGCTCTTCTACAAGTTGTTTTTCGGGAAAAAATTTATTTTCGACCAGCACGATATCAATCCAGAGCTCTATGAAGTCAAATTCGGCAAAAAGGGCTTCTTTCACAAGCTGCTGACATTTTTCGAACGCTGCACCTTCAAGCTTGCAGACGGGAGTCTTGCAACGAACGAAACCTTGAAGGGAAGAGCCATTGAAACGGGCAAGATGCCGCCGGACAAGGTCTGGGTCGTCAGAAGCTTTCCAGATATCGAACGGTTCAAGAGAACCACTCCGGACGAGAGTGCAAAAAGAGGCCGGCGCTATCTGGCGGGTTATGTCGGCATCATGGCCGAACAGGACGGTGTAGAGTATCTCGTGCGGGCAATGGACCATATCGTCAATGGTCAAGGTAGAGACGATATCGGCTGCGTCATTATCGGCGACGGCCCCGATTATGATCGATTGCGCGCACTTGCGGCCGAACTCAATCTGCTCGACCATGTTGAATTCACCGGATATCTCTCAGGAGCGCCGCTCCTTGAAAAATTGTCCGCATGCGATATCGGCGTCATCCCCGACCCGCCAAATGTCTGCAACGACAAGCTCTCCATGAACAAGGTGTTCGAGTACATGGCGCTTGGAATGCCGTTCGTGTTGATTTGCGCTGAGAACTGACCCGGTAGCCCCATAAATTTTCACTGAGAACTGACCCATGTAACGACGCTACCCTGACGCTTTTGTTTGGGGGAGATATGGAGTGATCGACATGGGATTTTTAAGTGTCATTCGACGTTGGGCATTACGTGAAGGGATGCCCATTCGCGAGATAGCCCGCCGTACTGGTTTGTCTCGCAATACCATCAAGAAGTACCTGCGAGAGGGCGCTGTTGAGCCGAAGTTCAAGGTGCCCAAACGACCGAGTAATCTTGATCCGTATGCGGATCGTTTGTCTGCATGGTTGTTGGCTCAGACACGCAAATCGCGCAAAGAGCGGCGTACTGTGAAGCAGATGCACGCCGATTTGGTGAAGTTGGGCTATGCAGGATCCTATGCGCGCGTGGCCGCTTTTGCCCGTGCCTGGCGTGACGACCGGCATCGTGCCGAGCAAACAACTGGGCGCGGCACGTTTGTACCGCTGGTGTTCCAACCCGGCGAAGCGTTCCAGTTTGATTGGAGCGAAGACTGGGCCACTATCGGCGGTGAACGGGTCAAGCTGCAGGCGGCCCATACGAAGCTCTCGCACAGCCGAGCTTTCTTAGTGCGCGCCTACCCATTGCAAACGCATGAGATGCTGTTCGATGCCCATTGGCATGCGTTCCGCGTTTTTGGCGGTGTGCCTGGACGCGGGATCTATGATAACATGAAAACTGCTGTTGATCGCGTTGGCCGTGGCAAGCAGCGTGACATCAACGCCCGGTTTAAGGCGATGGCCAGTCACTATGTTTTTGAACCCGAGTTCTGCAATCCAGCGGCAGGTTGGGAGAAGGGCCAAGTCGAGAAGAACGTCCAAGATGCGCGCAATCGCATGTGGCAGGTCATGCCTGTCTTCAAGGATCTTGATGAGCTGAACCAGTGGCTGGAAGACCGCTGCATCGCCCTTTGGATTGAGACACCGCACCGGGATCTGCCCGGCACTATTGCTGACATCTGGGAAGCAGAGAAGCCCATGTTGATGGCACTACCACCCGCCTTCGACGGTTTTGTGGAGCACAGTAAGCGTGTGTCGCCAACATGTCTGATCACCTTTGAGCGTAATCGCTACAGCGTGCCCGCGAGCTTTGCCAACCGGCGCATCAGCTTGCATGTCTATCCAGAACGGCTGGTCATAGTGGCCGAGGGGAAGACCGTTTGCACACATGAGCGCATCATAGATCGATCACACCGCAAACCTGGTCGTGTTATCTACGACTGGTGCCACTATCTCGCTGTAATCCAACGTAAACCCGGTGCCTTGCGCAACGGAGCACCGTTCATTGAGATGCCAGAGGCCTTCCGCAACTTGCAAGGTCACATGCACCGCAGAGAAGGTGGTGACCGCGAGATGGTCGATATCCTGTCATTGGTTTTGCACCATGATGAGAATGCCGTTCTGTGTGCCGTAGAATTGGCGTTGGAGGCTGGCGTGCCAACCAAAACCCACATTCTGAACTTGTTGCACCGGCTGATAGACGGAACGCACACTGATCTCCCAGAGGTCGATCCACCTGATGCACTCGCATTGGAAACAGCGCCAAAGGCAAACGTGGACCGCTATGATGATCTGAGACAGGCTGGGGGCAAGTACCATGCGTCATGACCCAGCAGGAGCCTCAATCGTGATCATGCTGCGCAGTCTCAAGCTCTATGGCATGGCAAACGCCGTAGAAGATTTGGTCGCCCAAGGCGGGCCTTCTTTTGAGGCCGCAACACCTATGTTGTCCCAACTGCTCAAAGCGGAGATTGCCGAAAGGGAAGTGCGCTCAATCACATACCAGACAAAGGTGGCCCGCTTTCCGTCATACAAGGACCTCGCAGGCTTTGAGTTCAAATCTAGTGACATCAATGAAGCGACCGTCAAGCAACTGCATCGGTGCGAGTTCATGGAGAACGCTGAGAACGTCGTGCTCATCGGCGGGCCTGGAACGGGCAAAAGCCATGTCGCGACCGCCATCGGTGTTCAGGCCATTGAACATCACAGGTGCAAGGTCCGCTTCTACTCAACCGTCGAACTGGTCAACGCGCTAGAACAGGAAAAGGCGCTCGGCAAGACCGGAAAGATGGCAGAGATGATGACCAAAATTGACCTCGTGATTTTGGATGAACTTGGCTACTTGCCGTTCAGTCCATCCGGCGGCGCACTACTGTTCTATCTACTGAGCAAACTCTACGAGCGGACCAGCGTCATCATAACCACCAACCTCAGCTTCTCAGAATGGGCCCAGGTCTTTGGAGATGCAAAGATGACAACCGCGCTTCTGGATCGCCTCACACACCGCTGCCACATCCTGGAAACTGGAAACGACAGCTACCGCTTCAAAGCCAGCTCAGAGGCTGCAAAGAAAAAACGAAAGGACAAGCCAACATTGACCAACACGTAACCGCTGATACATAAACAAAGGTGGGTCAAATCTCGGTGAAAATACCGGGTCAGTTCTCAGCGCAAATCAACACCGTTCGTGCAATTCGAGCTTGAGCAGGCCAAGATCGACGCCGGAGAAGCCGCTCATGTCGTCCCTGAAAAGACGCCGGAAAGCCTGGCGCAGGGTATGATTGACCTTCTGGGCGACCCTGAGCGGCGCACCACAATGGCGACCTATGCTTCGCATCGTGCACAAAGAGAATTCCACTGGGATCTGGAGAAACATTCCCTGCTGGATGCATACCGTACACTTTTGCAGCCAAAGGAAGCCGCGAAGATCACTGAATCGGTCAGCGTCTCTCAGTGAATACGCCGTCATTGCGACGTAGCATGGCCACAAGCTTCATTTTGGCTTGTCGAGTGCGGCGCAAACCGAGTCTTTATAGGTCGCGATGACATTTTTCCGCTGAAACTGCGATAATTTGCCGGATTCCTGCCAAGTTGCCAGTTCCTTTTTCAAGGCAACTTGCTCGACAACCAGTCTTTCCATCGCGGCTTCGATGCCCGATCCGTCATTCGCCGACACGCCGAGAGCAAATGAGGCTTCGTCGAAAAACCCATCGATTGCCCAGTCCTTTGGAAACACAACCGGGCATCCCGCAAGCAGCGCCTCAAGAAAGACCATGCCAAAAGTTTCGCGTTTCGAGACCATCGCAAAACCACAGGCACCGTTGAGCATTGACTGGACATTTTCGTGCGGGATTGGGCCTTTGCGCACAAATGAGGTCGCCTGACAATCAGCAATCAGCTTGTCGATCGCTGTTTCCTGTTCGGCCGCCCCGCCCCCATAAAGGTGAAATGCATAGGCGGGGTGCCGCTTTTGAATCTCTGCACTTGCCTTTATCAACGCGGCGACGTTCTTGTTGCGATAATCCTTGAGATGAAAAACGGACGCCAACACAGGATCGACAACGCGCGGTGCAATTATCCGGTCTTCGGGCGACGTGCACGGCAGGAGAATGGTTGGTTTTGTGCGCGCGCCGAGTGCATTGTCACAAACGCGCTGGCCCATCACGGAAAAGGGGAACACCAGCTCTGCTCCGTGGTAGATCCGTCGATAGCTGTCGAGAAGGTCCGGGCGAAATTTCAAGATCTTTCGGTCCGTGTTTACCTGGATCGAAAGCGCGTAAGGGCACCCGAAATATTCGCTGAGTTTTTCAGCGATCAATCCCTCAATGGACAACTTGTGGCCGTGTATCAGGTCGGGCTTTATGCCTTTTGTGACCAGATCATCGGCGATCCTGTCCGCCAGCCGCAAGAGTGAGGCCTGCATGTAAAGACCACCTGGCAATCCCTCATAGCGAATTGCTGTTACGCCATCCTTCTCGCGTTCAAAGCCGATACCGAACGCGGGCTTTGCCGGATTTCCAATAAGTGTCGTGAGCGCCGAAACAGCGGATGGGGACGCCCGATTGATCGAGTAGACGTGCTGGTCGAATGTTTCGTGAACAGCTTCGACAAGACTGCTGACTGCCCTGGTTTTTCCCGGCAGACAACTATCGGGGTAGTCTCCCGAGACATGCACAATCACTTTGGCCATCTTCAGGAACTACCTCTTGCCGGCTTTCTTGTTGTTTTTGCTCCCAGAACCCGGTCTTAAGCGTTTCAGGCCCCGTCTCAGCTTCTCCAGCGCTTCTGATAACGGTGTTGAAATCTCGTCCTGCGCGTTGAGGATACTGCGGCCCATCAACATCGGCTGCAGCCTCCTTTCCCGGATGGCCCTGACAAGTTCCTGCTCCAGGTCGTCGCCCGAGACATTGGTGCGATGTGTCAACGGCCAATAGTGGCGAATATGATGAAAGTCGACACCGACGGTGGCGGACAGCCCGGATTTGGCAATCAGGGACTTTGCTTCCTTGCCAGGTGCCACACCATCAGACTTGCGGTTCCAGACTTCGATGCCGTCCAGATAGGGAACGAATGCCTCTTCGAACTTCAGATAGGCCTGACGCCTGACCGGATGGGCGAAGATCGCGACGCCACCTGCGGATTTGACCTTTTGCAAGGTTTCGAGAACCGGCTGGTGTTCACTCAGAAAATGATCAAGCCCCCAGGTCAGTATGTGAATGTCATTGTCGGGAGAAGAATATTCAATTCCCGGAACCAATGTACATTTCCCGGTTGATGCGCTGGCGCATTCGGCCCTGTAGTCATCAAAACTCGCAGGTTCGAATCCCGTGTCGTGTTCGCTCATCATGACAACGTCAACACCACGGGCACCGAAGAAATCCGCAATCTCCGCAAGCGTCCAATGACCATCATAGGACCAGAGGGAATGCGCATGCAGAACGACATTGAGCGTCCGGTTCATCTGTTGCGTCCCCTGATCCCCTTCACAACGGTGAAAGCGGCTTCCCGCAGAAAGAAGAGCGGAAAAGCGCGGTCATAGTTATAGAAGCCGGATGGTGAATGAAGTGAGAAAACGCCGCAGGCGGAACGAAAGAAGTTCGGCCACCTCTCCGCATGAAACTTGCTCTTTGGTCCCTTGATCACGAAGAGAAGGTGCAGAATTTCCCGCCCCAGATGACGAACCCGTCGGTCGTCGGGGGAACCGGGCGATGCGTCGGGATGAAAGCCCGGATCAAATGCCTGTTCAACGGCCCAACCTGGATAATCGTAACCATTGCGACGCGTAAGGGCCGTGGATCCCCACAGCCGGCCATTCAGTTCGATAAACCAGCTATTGCCTTCCTCATCGGTCAACAACTCGACCATGAACGGGCCCTGCCAACCAATGGACGCTATGAAGGTCTTCACCTTGTCGATCAGGTCATCCGCGGGTCTTGTCGCGCAGCAAGCACTTGCGCCTGACCCGTGCGGGTTCATCATCCTGATCCGGCGATGTCCGAAAACCTGTGCGACCCCATCCTTTCCCGCAAATCCGAAAACGCCCTCACCCGTTCCATGAATAAGTGGTTGAACAAGTACCGGAAAGGAAAATGCCTGTTCGCCGGGAAGCGTTTCAAGGTCTGTCTGGTCGAAGAGGTAGTGGGCATCTCCCTTCCTTATCCGACCGGCATGGTCCAGCGATACTGCGCGAGCAGGTTTCACGATTGCCGGGAATTTTGATGCCTTGAAAATTTCATCCCGCGAACTTGCAACGATTGTGGGCGGAACTGCCAGACCTGCGGCCTCTGCAGCTTCGATCTGTCGAGCCTTGTCGAGGGCAATGTCCTTTTGTACTCCGACAGCGTTCGCCAAAACGGGCTTGCGTTCCGCGTCGCCAAGACTGTTTAACGCCTCGTTTGCAAGCCACAAACTCGTATCGTCAAGCGCAAGCATCGCATCGATGTCCGGGTTGTTGCGAAGCAGGTTGGCCAGATCCCGTGTCGCCAGATCGGCGCTTTGCTCGGGTGCGTGTATCAGGAAGGGTTCACCCACCGGAAGAATTTTCGACAAGGGGGCAACAGTATCCTGACGCTGAAACACTCGCACCTTGTATCCCTTGTGATACAAGCTGAAAAACACTTCGGGCGCAGCCAGGGCATCCGCGAAGCCAATGAGGACAGTCTTTGCGTTTTGCACTGGTTTCATCTTCAAAGGATCTGTTTCTTGGCTTTGGCGAGTGAGCGGCGCAAGCTCCTGACGATGCTTTCCCGGCCCGACAGAAAAAGTGCCACCGCCTCTTGTGATGTATCAGCGCGTACCGACCAGCGCGGTATTGGGTATGGCGTACCTGAATACCCGCCCCCGTCACTTGAAAAGACACGCTCATATCCGTTGGATTTCAGTCGTTCGAGAGTGGATCTTCCGTACTGTCCGAACGGAATGGCAGCTTCGGTGATCTTTTCGCCTGTGCAGTCTTCCAAACGCGCCTTGGCGTCTACAAGTTCCCTGCGCGTGCAGGCGTCGTCGAGATGCTTCCAACTCACGTGGTCATACCCATGAGATCCGATCTTGTGTCCGAGACCCAGTAGCTCACGCAGATGCACGCTGCCCAGAGAGCCTTCCTCGTCCAGACGACCGGCCAGGGGGAAGAATGTTGCAGTCAATTCTCTTGCCTCCAGCCCCTTTGCGCCAATCTCCAGATCGGACAGGTTGCCGTCGTCGAATGTAATAAGGACCCTGTCCTTGACCGGGGCGATCAGATCAAGAAACCGGTGATACTGCTCCTCGCTGATCCAATAGTGCGCCTCCCCGTCTTCCAGGGGCCGCATCGGCGAACCAATTCCATGAAAATTGACAATTAGAAACTTGTTTTTTTGCATGTTGTTCAAAATCCGGATACTTCGGAAAAATCTTCAATATCACATATTTCATCAGCATTGATCAGCACCGCTCAGGTGATTCATGGTGATTGTTAGTCCATGATCGACTGTGGGTCCATTGAGATGATGGTTTGTGATGCCGGACCTACACATGCCAACCAGCATCTCTTGACGCACCGTGATCCATTTGTGGTCAGCTAGACAAACTGGTGAGCCAGTACATTCATGTGAAGACCAGAAGATATTCGTGCCGGCCAAGACACAAAATAATCGCTGATCAGAGGCATAAAACTGGTGTCGAATATGACTGGCACAAGCGCGACGGCATTGATTTCAATACTTCGAACAGCTTGAAATCACATTGCTGAACAACCTCAAGAAAAAACCATCACGCGCATCCGTTTCTCCGGACAAACCGGCAGACCACGTCTGTGGAGGACAACAACCTGGTCTCCAGAGTCGTTCAACCCGCTGCGAGAGGTATTAGCTCCGCGCAGCGGGTGAGGTCTCAGTGAGCGCCTTTGAACGTATTGATCAGCAAGGCACTCGTCTCATTTGGATGTGGTGCCCGAGTCAGGTGAGTGATTGCTTGTGAAAACCCAACCCGCGCAAGTGTCCAATCCGCTGAACGCTCAAACCTAGAAGATTAGATCACCGAGCTGAAATTCTGCTGAGCCCGGCACTTCGCCGGTGGCCAGAACTGTTCCATCGTCGGTTAGTATCGTGGCTTCAGCGCTTACAAGGAACAGCTTTTCATCCCGATAGCGAGTTGTTTCGATGGCGTTGAAAATTTCATCATCAATTTCAACCGTGCCGATGAAACTCGCCGTGCTGAAAGAATCGGCGTCATCAAAAATGACCGTATCGTTCGAGTCTGCACTGATCTGCAGATATCCGGTCTCAGAGCCATTCTCGTTGAGGTGGTGCACTTTCAAGGTGTCAGCATGATCGTTCTTGATATCGATTTCTTCGATATTTCTGTGATAGCCGTCAAACCCTGAAAAATCCAATACGTCTTCTGAGTCTTGGAACTGCAGAATATCGTGGCCTTTTCCGCCATCGATGCGAATATCGTCCAGGTCTGCGACCAGTACATCGTTGCCATTGCCGCCGATCAGCGTATCAGCGCCCTCGCCTCCAACGAGAACATCGTTGCCGCCATATCCGACAAGAACATCATCACCGCCGCCGCCATCGAACGCATCGTCGTCATTGCCCCGACGGATTTTGTTGTTTCCGTCATCGCCAACAATATCAAATTTCCCACCGGTATCGCCCGTGTCTCCGGTATCGCCCGTGTCTCCGGTATCACCTGTGTCACCGGTATCGCCCGTGTCGCCGGTATCACCCGTGTCTCCGGTATCGCCCGTGTCGCCGGTATCACCCGTGTCACCGGTATCTCCCGTGTCGCCGGTATCGCCCGTGTCGCCAGGGTTCCCTGGATCTTCATCGCGATTTTCAATCCGGTGGACGATTTCCTCCTGGCTCAAATCATAGGCAAGGAAAGAAACGTCAGACAACGCACCTTCGAAGTGATCCTTGTTGAAGCGATCGCCAAGGTACAAGTCCTGTGGAGCCATGCCGCTCTGCATCGCGCCCTTAAGGCCTGAGACTTCCTGAACCACCTCGCCATCCACGTAGAGGGTCAAAGTGCCCTTTTCGCTGGAGAAGGTCAGAGATACGGAATGCCAGCCGTTATCCTGGATCTGCGGAACCGGAGCTCTCAGCCATTGAGTTCCCTGATCCGTCGTAACGGCGATCGGAATGTCGGTTTCACCAATAAAGACTGCAAAGCTTCCCGGAAAATCAATCACCCTGCCGCTTGCGTCCGCGTCGTCTTTCTTGAAGTCGAAAGAGAGCGTGTAACTATCGTTGTTGTAGTAGTCCGAAGACGCCTCAACCCGCACGGTTTCTTCATTCAGTCGGATTGCCGAGCGATCGTCTATGTTAACAACTTCAACCTTTGATCCAGTCGTTGCCGAATTGGCAAGATCACTGCTGTCTTTCACGCCATCGCTGAGATCGAGATCAAACAAGTTGGGGGACTCGACCTCGATGGTCTTCTGTACTTCCAGTGTGCGCCCGTCGGCAAGCTTGACAGAAACACTGACCTCTTGCACTCCACCTTCTGCAAAGCGGTGATCAACCTGCACGCCCGATTTTGTTGTTCCGTCAGAGAACGTCCAGACAACTTCAAGCGTGTCCTCATCAACCAGGCCAGCATCGGTAAAGATATTTTTGGCGTCAAAGGAGACAAGCATTGCATCACGGCCGCTATGACCTTCAGTTGCAATGAAACCGGCAACATCTTCTGGCGATGTGTCGAACGCAGTCAGTTCCGCACCATACCCCTCTACTATCGAGCCAGGAATGGCCTTCAGTTCTGAAATGAGGGCCTGCGGGTCGAGCGCGTTCACGAAAAGTTTGCCGACATAATTGGGTTGCGAACTGTCATGCATCTGGACATAGACATTGTCGCCGATTTTTTGGTTCTCGTTATCGGACGCTATTTCGTGTGACAGTATATTACCTTCGATAACCGCGTTTTCGGTTCCAAAACGAAGAATAATAGTCGGACCGTCTTGCTCATCGCCTGAACTTTGCAACAAGGTGTTGTTCAAAATGGAGAGGTCTTCGACGCCTTCCATTCGAATACCCTGTCTGTCCCCATTGAAGATTACATTGTTTTCAATAAGAACGTTCGAGAACTGATTACCTTCGGTATCTCCGTTATTATCGAGATAAATTCCCAAGAGAGCAGCGCCGTCACCCTGCTCAAAATAGTTGTCCCTGATAATGATGTTTTCACTATCAAACGTCTGATCACCGTCAATCCAGAAATGAACGTGATCTCCGTGGTCGCCGGCACCACCTAAATTCCATGGCGTCGAGCTATGGAAGTGATTGCCTTCCAGCAATACGTTTGAAACTTCAGCACCGTGTATGGGTGTCGTCCTCAAGCTATGGATTTCCGTTTCCAAAAGCTCAAAACCAGCGACATTCGAGAGCAAAATGCCTTTGTGAAACTGTGAAATCTCCATGTTGTCGAAGACAACATTGCTCGAATCCACAATTGCAGCAGCACGACCGGCGGGAAGCCCCAGGACACTACCGGACGGATTTTCGGTTCCAATCGGGGAATCCGGGTCAATACCGTTGACAGCCGGCCCACCCTCGATAGTGGAATTTTGGAAGGTAATGTCTGATGAGTATTTTACGTCGACTGCCTTCGTCAGATAGGACGTTTCGCTATCCGGGACAAAATCAACAAATACATCGTCGAACGTTATATTCGATGAAGATGCAATCTTGACCGACGAAAAGACGGCCTGATCGGAAGAATCCTGAGATTTGATAGTTATGTTTGCGTCTGGACTAATGTTATGAAACAGAACGTCGCCATAATCTCCAGGCTCGAGGAGAATTGTCTCTCCACCAGTCGCTTTTGCGACGGCTTCCATTAACTCGCTGGCTGACGAAACTGTTATCGTGGCAGGCGTACCCGAAGAGTCGTTAAGCACAAGTCCAGACATATAAAATTCCTCGTGATTGCGAAGTTGCGAGGAAATTACCAAGCCGCTGTTGATATGCTGTTTAATCTCAGATGAGTTATTGAGGAAAATTTTAACTAGTTTTACTATCTAATGTAACTTTATGTAATTACAGAAGAAATTTATTCGAGAATATTTCCAGCAGGGTGATTTTTAACAAGTTTAATACACATCGGTACTGTTTTCTTTCCGCCACCTTGATCGGCTTTCATACGCAGACTCAGTGCGTCAGGCACCGCCCCGAATTTGGTTCAGAACAAATTTCCAACGAACAGGTTCATCAGGTCGCTTCGGATAGACCACTCAGTGTTCAAAAAGCGGCAGTCCAGCCAGTTGTTTCAAGGCGGAGTGGAATGCCACATCACATTCAGGACTGGGCAATGCCTCAACGAAATCTGCAAATCTGCTGTACGTTTTGTTTTGGACAATCAGGACCGGTACGACCAGGACACTGCATTGGCTCAAACTGGCCCATCAGTGTTGTGGATCGGGCCTAGCGGTAGCGGCGTCAAACGATGTTATGTATATTCTCATCTTTGTCGCCGTAACAATTTCTGCACCGTCAGCTGTCTTGCCGGAGCGAAAACGTCGCATTGCCTGTAGCTAATTCCAATTCAATGCATACATGACTGACAAGAATCTTGCGACAAACCTAAAGGCCAACATGATCGTGGTAGCATGAGTAATTGCCAGCAATTCAATCCGCCGGTCACCCGGCGAACGTTCCTCGGCGCCACGCTGAGCATTGCTGCGCTGTTCAGCAGTACCGCGCTCTCTTCGCCTGCCGCTGCGGAGCCATATGCGAGCAACACGGGTTTCAAGGCGGACAAGGACGAAGGTACGGATGGAGACCTGTTCGTCGATAACGTCAACGGTTCGGATTCAAATTCAGGGACGAGCGTCAGCGACGCCATGGCAACTGTTTCAGCAGCCCTGGCCATTGCGAAACCCGGCCATGTCGTCAAGATTCGCAATGCTGGTGGCACCAAGTACCGGGAACGCATTGCCGCCCCCTCCGGGACTGCAGGCAACACGATCGTTCTGGAGGGATATGGAACTGAGAAGCCAGTCATTACGGCAGCCGAGCCGTTGACCGGTGCAGTTGCATGCACAGTCGCCGACGAGCCTGTCCTGGGCAAAAACTATGCGTCGATCTACAAGGTGCCGGGGTTCGCAAAGGAGGACATAGCATCCGGCGATCCTCGCGCTGCATTCCTGTTCGAAGGTGACAAGCGTTTGATCCCGTGTATGGGTCGCAAGCCGAATCCACAATATCCGCATACAGAAAGAGCCACAAAGGACTGGCTCGACGCTGACGAAACGGTGACCGACGGTGGTGATCCGAACCTGGTTCTGGGCACCCGGCTTCCGGGCTTTACTGATCGGTTCACAGCAGCACAAATCGAAAACTGCGACATTCTTTTCCATCGTTTCCCAAACCGTGATGCGCGGACAACCGTGGCGTCGTTTGATGCGGCCAGTGATACCATCTACCTGAGCGATCAGTCGTGGACGGCCGAGACCAACGCGAACAAGGATAAATTCATCCTTGTGAACCTTTTGCCACAGATGCGGAAAGGCGAATGGGGTTTCGTCGACAATGGAGCGACCGTTGATCTTTACTTCTGGCCCAATGACCCATTGAGCGTTGACAACAACATCGAGTACTCCCGACGATCCATCTGCGTGGATGGACGCGGGCAAAGCCACTTGGCGTTTCGGTCCATCATTTGTGAAAGGTCCAGCGCCGCAGGGCCCCGCACGGATGGCCGTTACGCAATGACATTCGGTCATGTGGTAGGTGCACCTTATGCAACCGATGTCACGCTGGACAATTGCTGGATCAGGGATACCTATCGGGATGGATCAAGCTACGCCCCGGTCTGGGTTCGCAATGTCAACAACTTCAAAATGTCCAATTCCACGGTATCCGATGCAATCAATCAGTTCGGCATCCAAGTTCAGGGTCCGTTTTGGAACAAATATGAGGGGGCGGCGCTTGGCTGTGTCATCGACAGAAACATAGTCCTAAGATCCGACCAATCGCCCGTTCGGTTGTTCGGCCTTGAAAACTTCATGGTCGTTCGCAACCAGTTTATCGACTGCGGTCAAGCCGCCCACGCAAACAAGGGCAATATCTACCAGGGTGGTCACAACGGTCTGTGGTGGCACAATTACTGGTGGGCCTGTTCCGGATACTGGACGTTCCAGCGCTCGTCTGCTCAATTCTTCGGCTTCAATTTCATTCATGGCAACACGCTGGATAAAGATGGGCGCGCCATTGAAGACCAAAACTTCGACAGAACTTCGAAACTAACCAATTTGTCTCCAGCGACCGGCCAAGGCATAAACGGCGATTCATATTTCCTGAACAACATGCTCGTGCCCTGGCGAAACGCCGCGACATATGCCAACTCGCTCATCTTGGGGTCAAAGAGCGAAGCTGCGATCAATTTCTCTGTGATGAACAACATCCTGAATGGCACAGGCTTTGTGACCGAGAAGCTCATTGCAAACGGCGTTAAAACAAATGTCTACACCAACGGAACACCGTTTGATGCGTCAGACAGTCTGCGCCCCTTCGGCGATGTCTATCAGAACATCACAATCGGAGACATCGCAGTCAAGGGCAACAGCCCGACACTGAAGGCTCCATCTACCGCAATCGACAGTCTTCCGGGAATGGACGGGAGTATTTCGCTTCGTTCGAAGTTCCCTGACTTTGACGGCTTTGGGATGGACATAGCGGGCAAACCGGTCGATCTTTCGAAGCCGCCCGTCGGCCCGGTCAACGACCCTGCCGACCTGCATCGGTTCGACCCGATCTGGATCGTGCGTCCGAAACTGACAGGAGCGCCGACTGTCGGTGGTTCCGTCACGGCCGACGATGGCTACGTGATGGCGCTTGGTCACACCTCCCGGACTTACCAGTGGTATCTGGTGGAGGACGTCTATGATCCGCGCGACGACTGGACGCCCATCGCTGGGGGAGATTCCGCGACGTACTCGCCTGTCACGAGTGATGTCGGCAAGTATCTTGCACGGCGTACGACCATGGATGGGGTGCCTACATATTCATTGATGTCCGCGCCCGTCGCATCCTCTTTCCCGATCGGCAAGCCTGTCAGTCTCCTGAACCCACGCGCGGTTGACGCTCGCAAGTTTGCTGCGGGCAAGTGGCTCGAAACAGCGACGTTAGCAACGTCCAACAAACCGCTTCTGGTGATCGTGTCGACTTTGAATACCGCTTTTGGGAAAATCGCCAGCCTTTCCATCACACTGGGAGCAGAAGGAAGGGAAAACGGTACGGGCAAGGAGCTATCCGTTGATCCTACGGCAGCCCTGCGGACAAGGAACCAGTTGTCAGTGGCCACGATTCTCGAACCTGGAACCGGCGTGCAGACCATTCAGGTAAGCAGTGACGACAACTGGACGAACATTCACGTGACAGTTCTTGAAGTGGATGGCCTTGCCGGCATCGCTGTCGGTTCGGTTACGGGTAGCTCAAAACCGACCGAGCTTTCACCAGCAATCACCACGAGTATGGACAACACGCTGGTCCTCTATGCCCTCAATCGATATGACGGCACCGGAGATCCGATCACCTGGGACGGGGGCACGACACTTATAGAAGAACCAACGGGAAGAGGCCATCCCTCAAATTCGCTACGCGTGTCCTATACTTACGAGCAGGCCGCCTCTTCAGGCACGTACTCCAAAACTGCGTCCTGGTCCGTAACCCACGGGGCTGCTACATCGTTTGCGATTGAATTGCGGGCTGCATGACCTGCGGGTCACTGCAAGCTGCACTGATACCGGGTTGAATTTGTCTTCGCTGCTTCCGGATATCGGCAAACGACCAGCTTCTGGAATATCGAAGAGTTTGCGTCAATTCTCAGCGAATGCCAAATCGCTGCAAGCAAATTTGCGACTACGACACTGCGATGCTTTCCGGTCCACATCGTGGTAGGGATGACCTGTCGACAGACCATTCCGCCACCGCTTTTGTTACTAGACTAGTTTGCGGAAGGCCGGGTATACAGAACTTTAATATCAATGCCTTACTAGGAATACAGTCCGCGGATTTCGTATCCAGCGCAAAGTAGATACCCATTCGTGTTTATTACGGCTCAGATTCGGGCTTCTATTGCGAGCGTGATTGAGACCGTTGCTTGTTTTTATGGCAATTCCAATACCTTCGTGTGGTAAGCAAGGATCACTGGCTGAGATGGCGGCTGTCACCAAACTAGAAAACATTCAGGCCTTGAGAGCCATTGCGGCTCTTGGTGTGGTCTTGTCCCATGCACACAGTCGCGTGGAACGCACCTACCCATCCCTGATTTCTGAATCCTTTGTTGATCGCTTCGGGGGGCTCAGCTGGATTGGCCATGCCGGAGTGGATCTGTTCTTCGTCATAAGCGGCTTCATAATGATCTATGTGCACTTTGACGACTTCGGCACCCGGAATGCCCCGTTTCAGTTTTTTGTCAAACGACTGATCAGGATTGTTCCAATCTACTGGCTTCTTTCGGCCACCGCGCTCGCGCTTTTGTTTATCGAACCAAGTCTGTTCTATCACGCCCGCTCGTTGGACGTGGAATGGATCGTATCCTCGTTCCTGTTTTTCCCGATCCGTTCCGAAACGGGTGTAACGACCCCTCTTCTGGGACTGGGATGGACATTGAATTATGAAATGTACTTTTATCTGATATTCGCCTTCTGTCTGTTCTTCAGGCGGTCGTTTCTTCTGCCATTCATGTTGATCTTTTTTGGAACGAGTATTTTGATCGGTGTATTGATTTCACCGTACAAGCTTTTCGTCATCCTGATGACCAACTGGCTCTTGCTCGAGTTCTTTCTCGGCTGCCTGATTGGTTATGCCTTCAGATCAGGCTACAATATATTGCCTCTGCCCCTCGCGCTTGTCTTGATAGTATCGGCGGTCGCGACAATTTTGGCGTGGGTAACATTCGGCCCAAATCATGAGATCCGCGGACTGCCTCGCTTCTTGTGGTGGGGCCTGCCAGCTGCGAGCATCGTTGCAGCATTGGTCCTTTGTCCAAGACTGGTGGATCTCAAAGTTCCCAAGTGGCTCCTGGAACTGGGGAACGCTTCCTACAGCATCTACCTTACCCACATATTCACCTTGCCTGCGTTGGCACTGATACAAAAGCGGGTCGATCACATCGCTCTCCTGCATCCAGATGCGGCTATCGCAGTCATGATCGTCGTCAGCGCCATTGCAGGCTATGTATTCTACCGTGTCGTCGAAAAGCCGATTACACGCCTGCTGACAAAGCGTTACCGGCCAATGGCTTCAGCTCGACAAAAGAGCGCCACGGGTTGATGCGCAGACTTGTTGTGCTGTGTTGCGATCGCATCGGTGCGCCGTCACGCGTTGGCCTGAAACGGGGCAGTTATGGTTCGGGCGAGTCCGAACACCGAACTGTCTGCCGCGGAATCCGCCTCACATCCCCTGCTCCATCGTCATGCAGACTGCTGGCTTGTATCCCGCTTCCAGGTGAAAACGGATCTTCGATGGCGACGGTCTTTCATGAATAATGCAAGTGAGCTTTGATGAGGGTCCATGCGACCATTTTCTCAATCCTGTTGACACTGACTTCACTTGGCCCAAGAAAGTCACACGACAATTGTGTTCGGGAAACAAGATGAAACGTTCAATGGCAGGTTTCTTATGATAATAAGACGCCAATAGGATTTTCAAATCTTTGAGTTGCCTGCCAGATACCCAGATTCAGAAACACGCACCATCATGCACTCCGGATTAACAACTCTCACATATTGTGGGAGACTAAACATTGACGAATTTGACCCCCATTGGTCGCACCCAAGTTAGTGCTTCATAAAAAATGCCGAGAACCTCTCCCAGAAAATCAGATTAATCGACGGAATTGTTACATTATTCCAACAAGATCGCCGCTATCGAAAAGGTGCAAACGTATGACCATCAGGGATTTGCTAAGCTTTCAATACAGGAAGAAACTCCCGGCAGAATTCGGGAGCGGCCGTGTACTTGTGACAGGGCGCTCAGATATGCGGGTTCTGAAACCAGGTTGGACGGCATGCGCTCACGATCTTATGCTTGTAACTCGCAGTATTGTCGAAAAGGATATGTGTGTCTGGGACATCGGATCTAACCTCGGTATTCTTTCCGCTATGGCTGCGGGAAAAATCGGCCCTGGAGGTTCCGTATACGCGCTGGAAGCTGATCCTGAATATGCGCGGTTGATCAACCTGACCGCCGGCAAACTGCCTGAGTCCTACGCCCCTGTCACTGTGCTCTGTGCCGCAATCGCAGACAAAAGAGGAGTCATGACTTTTGGTGTCGCCGACAAGGGGCATGCTCGCAGTAAACTGCTTGGAATATCCGATGATGATGATTTCAAAGTTGCGTCCCAAAAGCAGGTTGTTACTGTCACGGGAGACGAGTTGCTTGAATATTGGTCACCGCCCGCGTTTGTGAAAATGGACGTTGAAGGTGCCGAGTTGTTGGCCTTGAGTGGCAGCCAACGGCTTTTAACTGAAATTCGTCCAATTTTCTATCTCGAAGTATCCCCACAAAATCAAACAGAAGTCAGCAAACTCCTGAAATCAAATCAGTATGAAATCTTCCATCTCAAAGGGGATGGCAGCGAGCAACAGGTCGACGAATGTACTTTTTATACAATTGCAAGACCTGGGTAATATTTGGTCCGGCCTTGTAAACGCGGGTTCTTATGTCAACGCATTCGGACTGCTCAGTACGATCACATTACTGATTTGTATATTTTAAGCATTTCCTGCGCTTTGATTTTCCAGAGGTGCTCTGCCAACAACTTCTGACGTCCACCCGCTCCTAGCTTGTTGCGCAACACTGGTTCTGCAAGGAGCTCCTTGATGGCATTGGCCAGGTCCATTGGCATCTTTTGCGGGTCGGTGACAGGAATTCTCAGTCCTGTCCCGTCGTCGACAATGAAGCCGGGACCGCCAGCCGAAACAGTTATCACGGGAAGGCCCCAGCGCATGGCCTCAAACAATACGCCCCCCATGGATTCCCGGAAACTGGGAAAGACAAATACATCGCTCTCTTGATAGTATTTTTCGATTTCTTCCCGCGGCAACTTGCCAAGAAACTGCACCCTTTCTGAAACACCCAATCTTTCAGCTTCGGCCTTGCAGATCGCAATTTCCTCTCCGTCACCGATGCTCGTAAGCGTAACATCCGGGAATTCCTTCAGATACGCCATTGCCCGCACAACATCGCGCAAACCCTTCGTTCTGACGGCACGTCCCACATGCAACATTTTCATCGTTTGTGGAACCACTCGACGCTCTACCGCCGGCTCAACACTATCAACACCGATTGCCAAAAACGGCTGAAAACGCTTTTTGGGAATAGCTCGCAGAATATCGTTCATATAAGGAGCGACACCGAGAACCAATTCCGCCCTGGCATAGCTTGACCGCAGATAAGGGTCATACTTGAATCTCACCTGATCCAGGCCACGCAATCGTGTATACCAACTGGCTGAACCGCATTCGCTCGAGAAGGCTTTTGGCGTTGGCAATGCGCCGCCAAGCGAACCAAGAATGTATGGAATATCGAACTTTCGAAAGATCGTCGGATAACGCGGCGCCGCCGGGAGTATCTGGTGCGCGACATCCCAGGTTCGTCCTTCCGACAACGATTTACGAATCCACTTTTCTGCGAACCAGGCGACGACAAATATGTTCGGGCGGAACATGGCGCGCATGCGTTCATATCTGCGAAGCCATTCCGGCTCTTCAAACGTAACCACTTCCGCATTTGGCAATTGTTCCGAGAGCGGCGGCCCCTTGGTACATTCAAGCGCGAGAATAGTCAGATCTGCTATTTTTGAAAGTTCTTCCAGGAGCCGAAATCGCGTCAGGCTTTCTCCCACATCATATGCATCAATATGTGGCGCCAGGATCAAAGCCCGTAGTTTTGAAGTCATATTCTGCCGCTCCAGGCATTTCCCAATGCCAGAAACACACGTCGAAAATGCAAAGCACGTTCCTTTGTGACCGGCGATGAGGATACCATGTTGCGAAGGGTCCAAAACACGGCCCTGGTCGCATTGAAAAAAGCCAATATCAACCAACAAACGGAAGCAGCAACCAGCCCTCCGTGCTTTCTGTGAAGCTTAACCTTTGAGTTCGTGAGCAATAAGTCACGTTTATGATTGAGTTTTTTGACCGATCCGCCACCGTGATGCGTAATTTCTCCAACCGGTGCAAACATGAGTTGCCAGCCAGCACTGCGAATTCGATAGCACCAGTCCGTCTCTTCACCGAAAAAGAAGAAGTGTTCATCCAGAGGGCCGACTTCGCGGATCACTTCCTGACGCAACAACAAGTAACAGCCCGAAATCACTTCAACAGATCTTTCGGAATCTCGCTGCCAATCCGTCATGAGGTATTTCCCAAACCAACGCGGCGATTTCAGCTTCCATAGTCCTGAAGACATAACCAGAAGATTTGTTAACGTCGGAAACTCGCTACAAGTAAGCTGAACAGATCCGTCAGTATTCAATACACGACATCCCATGGCACCTACGCTCTTGTGCTCAACCAGATAGTTCACAGATTGCTTTAGAACATCTCCATGGACAATGGTGTCGGAATTTAACAGTAAGACATACTCACCTTTCGCAATACGAAACCCTTGATTATTTGCGGCAGCAAACCCGACGTTTTCTTTGTTTTTGATAAGAACCACATTTTGGAACTCACGCTCGACCATCTCCTGGGAGCCGTCACTTGAC